TTCTTTCTGCGTCTAACGATCCAAGAGGTCATCCCGGACATCCTCATCTCTATCCATTGGCCATCAAGGCCAGAGCCTTGCATCCAGCATGCCGGATGCAAAATGCATCAAATCCGATCAAATCTCTGTTCAGTTTGGATGGCTACAAAGCAATCAACTTTGGAATACCTGCTCTGCTGTGCTATGGATGTCCGTCTTGAAGCTCTCTCCCTCCACTTCGACGGGAATTTGGAAGGGGTGTATACAAGTGCAACATTTTCAAGTCTGAGATTGCTGTATGATCAAAGCCCTTTTTTCTTGGGCAAAGCGCTCGATATGAGGTTGAAGAGATTTGCAGAGCCTTTTCTCGCCTAAGTACCTTCTCTGCTTCAAGATCTTTTTTCGCAAGCTTTTTTAGGCGAAGGTTTCAAGTCAGGTTGGGTGCCAACAAGGTGATGGCTGACGGCCGCATATGGCCGCTTTTATGGCCATCGAAGTATATTGAAGTGAGCAAAAGATGCAAAAGGTGAAACAGCAAGGGCTGTTATGGGCTGTTAGCCTTCTGCCTCTCTAAGATTCTAAGGTGATCTATTTAATCCACTTATAATTGGTAACCAGATGTAACCAGCAAAGGCCAAGATTTTCCTGGGGAATGGGGGACTAAAGTGACTAAACGTACAGGTCTTGAGACAGCCATGCAGTCAAAATCCGGTAAAAACCTGTCAAGAGGGTGGCATCTAGCTGGTAAAGAAAGTCTCCTTCAGTCAAAGGCATCGAAGTCAACATCCTGGAAGCGATAGTCATCCAGCGACTCTTGCGGGGCGCCCGTGTAACAAGGGCCCTGTTGTGGCACTTTTGGCTTATGATGGCTTATGAAACGGCTGATGTGAACCCTTCGCGAGCACCGCCTCGCAGCCGCATGTAAGGCTGCTGAGGCAAGTGCTGGAAGTATAGGACATGGCCTCCTGACAGTCCGGTGATTTGCGCGGATCACCAAAGCAGCTGCAAAATTCCCCGCCGTCACCAGTACCATTTCTTCGTTCATCTTCCGTTTGTTGGCAGAACACGTTGCTTCATTCCTGTTTCTCAAACAGCAGCTGCTTCCAGCCTGTAGCATTTACATGCATTCAATCTCAAGTCAGGCGGCAATTCAGACAGTATTCAGACAGTCTTGACTGCCGAAGTTCCTGTTTCTGCTATTTTCCTCTGGTCCAAAACAGGGAAGAGCAAGCCTGCTGCGAGGTTGCAAAACGCACTAGCGTAGTGAATGCAACAAGAGTTTGTCCTCCCAGGCTTGCAAATGGTCAGCCTTGTCGAGTAGAAAACTGGTGCGGTGAACTCCACCTAGATAGTGTACATGTTTTAGTTGGGAATGGGGGCGTTCTTGCAACAAAAGCTGTGTTCTTGGCAAGGCCATAGCCACGAAATGGGCATATGGACAGCTTGACGCTTCAGATGAAAAATGCCACTGAAGCATGTCGTACAAGGTTCCAAGGGAACCCGGTTGCTAGTGCATGCTGATCCTTCCCATTTTGAGTTTTGAACAGGGTGATGGCAAGGAAATCCATCTCCTGATCAGTCCGAGCAAGAACCTGCGTTGGCTCCTACTCTTCAGGAGAAAACATGTCCGGACTTCGGTTTATGCCCAAAACCCTGTGCGCCAAGTTGGCACTTGCGACAGACTTTCATCTGCAGCGGAGATGGCCATGAAGTCGGCCCAGAAGCTCGTCCAGGTGCAGCCATGGTGCACATCTGCAAGATCCTACAGCAAATCAATTTGGCAGCGAACAATGAACAGCCTACATTTACAACTCTTTGACATTCTTTGATCCAGCTATAGTTGATTCTAGTTGTATATTGTACTACATATATCTATATATTGCTATATGTTGTATGATGTTGTATGTATCTCGGTGCCCTAGCATGCTCTAGCGCCCAGGGCCCTGCCAGAATCGGAGAAAAGGAGAAGCAACATACAGCGAGATCAGTCAGGCATGACGAAGCGGCGCACTACAGTCAAAAGCAGTTACGGCCTTATTTTAATCATTTTTCATTGCACCTTAAACATCCTTAGGCTATTTAGATTTGAATACTTCAATGGCTGCCAAGCTCCATTGTGCTGATGTGGTGCTCTCCTCCCTTTCCGTTTGGCAGATGCGTGGGGCTTACAAGGCTGAAGGAGACGTGGGTTGCCCCGCACCCTTTTTGTATAGAATCACAACCATGTCATGTCCCTGTGGAAGGAACTTTCCACCAAAGCCACCATGCACCTGAACTGGCAGCCCTCTGTAGCTTGCCAGCGCCTTTGCAAATGAGGTGACTGAAGATGACCGAAGTCCCTATGTACAGAATGTTCCGAGCATTGTTTCAATCTCTCTGAGCTTATTCGGACCATATTTGTGTTCAACAATTTACCCCTGCCGAATCCTACCTGTCTCTTGGGTGTGAGAGCGCGAGCCACGCAAAGGACTCGCGTGCACGTCACATCAAGGGTGGCGTGCAGGAGCCAGCGTTTCATGAGCGAAGTTCTTTTCAATTTACTTTAAGCCTTGGCAAATGCTGGAAACTTGCTCAAAACAATTGGCAAAAATGGCTTACGCATGCTTACGCAAATGGAGCCAGCAGCAAAGGTTGCTGGTAAACGATTTGGTAACACCATTGAAAAGGTGCTTGACATGGTCGAATCCATTGGGAGGGCAGGGTGCCAAAATGTCTTTGCAGAAGATATACACTGCCCCGAAACTTCTCAGGGTAGGCGTTATCCAACCCTTTGCTTTCATGTGCCCGGCTAACCTGGCACGAGACCGGAGGAACTGTATCTTTCTCGACGATCTTTGGACGTGTTGTGTCTTTTGTGTCTTCTTCATACCGTCAACAATTGTCTATTTTTGGGAATCAGAGAGGTGAGGTGGAGCGACAATACTTTGCAGCACCCCAATTGCAGACTGATGATGCTGAGAAGCAGAAGCAGCCTTGTTCGCATATAAAAGTCGCTTTCAGAAATGTCTGCTTAGAAGGTTCAAATAGGTTCAGCTCCATCTTACCTGTCTTGTCAGACCGATCTCTTGGCTCATTTCTTCAAACAATATGTTTGCAATTCAATGTTGGGTTCTAGACTCAGCAGCACCTGGTTTTGCAAAACCCATGGGCCACCACGTCAAAGTTGAGACTTCAAAGCGTATTCGGTGCCCAGTCGGACAGCTCCCGTCCGCCATGCCACAAAATGTTTGCAACAGTTCGATGCCAGGACGCAGCATCCGAGAGAAATTGGGCTGGAAGGTTTTTGAACATCACCGTTGCACCCATTGGTGCCGTTCATCATCTCAGCATATCTTAGCATTATGCATTCTTGCTTTGGAGCGCAGTTTTGGTCAGGGATCTTTTGTTCTTTAGGGGCCGTTGCGTGGATGGAATAAGACTTCATTTTCACAGCTACGTGCTTTGAACGATGTCGACTAGCCTTGCAAGATGTCGACTAGAATTCATTCTGGTCCTTATTCTAGCCTGGATCTCAATACTTTTGCGCTCGTTCGCACCAATGCTTGGTCAATATCCTTCTTTCCTTGGGACCTGTCGGTTTGTACCTTCTCGGAAGGGAGGTGGCCAACTTCTGGCAAGGCTTATCACGGCTCGTGCTCAAAAAAGTCAAGTGGACCATTCCCACTGTTTTCAGCCCACCGAGCTCAGTAATTACAACAGATTGCAACTCCTCTCCGACTGCGGTCCCCTTCCTGCGGAAACAGCAAAGCCCACATAGCTTCAGACTATGCCATGATGCGCATTCTGATTCGCTCATCTTTCTTACCTCCTTCCTTTTCCGGGCCAAGCAGCATTTGAAGCATCGTTTGCATGCACAACCAAATCTGCAACGCTTTTTGCTGCGAAACATCAGAATGCCCTCCCCGTGCTTTACGGACTTTACACTGCATTCACAGATGGATTCAAACAATTGAGGCCTATCTTGGCAACCCATCCGCTCCCTTGATTGATGCTACGGGATGCCATGGGCACGTTTGAATGGTGGAGCTCAAGTCCGACATTCTTCTCACCACAGCTTCTCAAACTCCCAAAGCCAACAGCAGAGCACCTGTCTTGAGGAGAACATGAGACTGCTGACTGCCACTTGAGTTTATACACTACATGCGAGCACCGGTACAAAAATATAAAAAGTGACACATGATTGCATGCTCCACGGATTCTCCTCCTAGTCTCAAAGCTCAAGATCCACGGAATCTATGTGCTGCAAGCTAAAGGGCCAGAAATCCGCTATCCGGCTATCCGCTTCCAAGCTGCCGCGAAGCTTGCTGCGCAGTGGCTGGTTTTCCTAGGAGCTTTTGCAGGAGCGAGCGGCTGACAGTTTGCATTTCCGTCGAGTCTGAGGAGGTTGGTTCGTTGCCCATTGGCCATGCCTAAACTGCTGACATTTCTCTGAAACTCAGCTGGGTTTCACTATTTATGAAAACCAGCTGGGGCTCCATGGGCACAGGATCAACCTGAGTCGACTGCGGCATATTGCGCCACCATGCGCCTCAACCCTTGCAAACATCCTGCAGTTCCAGTTGGCAGCCAGGTCTACCAGTAAGTCGCGGCCATTGAAGTGTCATCGCCTTAGCGTTTCAGCTTGGACGTGGCAGAGCACGACGCCTGCATGGTGACCTCTGGAACCGTGCGGCCCTCGCAAGATCTTCCAAAGGCCCACCTTGCGGTGTACTAAAATCATGTTAGGAAGTGGTGGGAAAGAATGCGATCAGTTTAGCCTTCTTGCTGCTCTTGGCTGGAATGTTCATATTGGCTGGATTCTTGGCCAGGTTTGCACTTGCCGACTGCATGTTACTGATGGCCATGAGAGAAATAACCTCCTTCAGAATCCAATGCGCCCGGCTTGGTGCTTCATGGCAAAATGCCTCGCTGTCCTTTCATAATTCTCATGTGGTGTAGTGAGTGATTACCTCTGCGCCTGAACACACTCTGGTACTGCGGACTATGTCCCTTTGCTTTCTTGATGTTCACTTGATGTTCAAGTCACAACTCGGGAGTGTGTACTCTGATTGTACTCTGTATCCCTGATTTTCTGTGGCATTTGGGAATGTCAAACTCGCCCACAAGACAAAGCCTTTGAGACTTGCACAGGCTTGACATATATTTGGATGTCAATGTGCCTAGGTGTGAAGCTGCAATCTGCCCAATTCTCCCGAGACAACCTTACTAGGGTACAAGGGGAACATTTGTGAATACTGTAATCTCTCGCACAGGAGAACCACATCATGAGCTGCATTCCTTTTCGCACATGTATGATGACCCAGTTTTATGTACAAGATCATGGGCAACCATGCAGTGCACTACTTCGTTTCGTTGTCAACCCAAGACCTGTTGAGCTCAGGGAGAGCTCAGGTTCAGCACGCTTGGTAGGTCGAGTTTTTCATGCGTTCCCGTGATCTGCCTTTCCGATTTCCCTTGGAGATGCAACTTTGATGAGGCAGTCACATCTTACATCATCTATACATCATCTATACATTACTCATACTCTTACTGCCGGCGGCACAAATGTCCTTCCCTGACTGTACACCCACCGGGCAATGTGTTGTGCATCCAAATATCTCTCGGCAAATAATCTTGAATCAGATTTGATCAAGCATCATCGGCTACGGTTGCCACTCGAACTGCAATTCCAGGAGCATGGGAGTAAAACTTTTGCTACCTCTCAAGTTGAAACATGTTGAAGCGCCATCCGTTTTCAAACAGTTTCTGTATGGCACTGTTTTGCAGGTTTCGGGGAGCAATCTGGTTCTTTCGCAGCAGCAGCATGTCAATGTGAAATGCACGCTGCCGTTAGTGACCGTTAGTGTTCTTCCTTTTCCATCCTTTTTCCAGCAAAGCCAAACACCAGCTGCAGTGCTCTGTGGCAACCTGAGCTGCCGAGTCGCCTTGTCAAACTATGTGACCTGAGCCTTGGCCTGGACCGCCGTAGAGTTTTGGGTGTCTGGGGTCTCTTTAGACTCCGATCAGGGCTATGGCCACGGGGAGAGCTTCAGTAGGTTGCTTCATTTTGTTTCGAAGATATTCCAAGATCAAAGAGTTGTGCTCGAAGAACACTACTTCCACTTCCACGCTGCCAGAGTGGTGGAGCTTCTACCACCCAGAGAGAAAATAGGGAACGCGGGGCCAAGTACCCCCTTGCTCCTCCCAGGGCCTGCCAAATATACAAGTGAGGACGGGCAGGATGCCACTTCCAAGGAACTTCAGGCAACATCCCCCAGCTGCCATAGACATATAAACTACAGAGTAGCACAGAATATCAGTCGTCTGTGTTTTTGACTTTACTTTGGCCTGCTTTTTTGATTTGTTCTAACTCCCATCTCAGGTACAACACTCTTTCGCCTCTGCACCACAGGTGCCTTCAGCATAGAAGCGCTGGATGAGGTTAGCCCGGCTGGAGCATTGGATGATCCACCCATAGACCCAAGCTGTTGACTGGGAAACTGGTGGTGCCATCACAACAGGAATGCGGCCGAGCTGACGTGACGGAAACGGTGGTTGGAGTTGGGGCCACAAAGATTTTCACTGTCAGTTTCTTCTTACAAGTAAGTAAGAACACACGCCGCGTTTCAGCTGGGTCTCACTTCTGATTGCAAGGGCTTCCCAGCCTGTTTAAGATGAACCAGGCATTCTGGCTCAGTACCTCTTTGCCGGAACCGGAACTCTGTGTTTTTGCCTTCAGTACTCCTGCGAGTCAAAACAGAATGCACTGTATATCATTCATTGGCGCCAGCCGCACGAGCCTGCCAAAACAAACATGGAGAGCTCTCCATCGCAATCATCTACTTCATTGTGGGTGGTCCGCTCATGCGTTGGTCTTATCAGAACAGGCACTCCCAAGTCAAAGATCATGAAGCAAACCGGTTGAAATCCAAGAACTTTGGCCTTGGGCCAGAATGCATGTATTTTTTTCTCCAGGCTTCTGCTTTAGGCATCTAGCTTTCTTAAAATATGAGAGTCTCCCAATTGAGGCCTCCCATATCGTTTTTATCCTTGGGCCACAACTCCTGCACACCATCATCTGGACCTCACAGTGGTGCCTTCTGTTTTTCCTAAGCCTTCCTAAGTTGGACCTTTTGAACTGCATGCTCTCAGCGTGGCCTTCGCTGCCAGCTTCCCAAAGGAGAGGGCAAGGCTAGGCATAGTATGGCACAGTGACGATCTCTGGCTTGAATGCGCCTCGAAGCCACAAGGTCCGGGTTTGCCCTGTAGCACTGCTTGCAGGCTGCCACCATCCTAGAAATGAAAGAAGGAAGGAGGGCAGGAAGGGCAGAAAAGGCAAGGGCAAGAAGAGAGGAAGGGCAGGGTGGTCCTTTTCCTGACCAAACACCCAAGCAGCCACTTTGCTCGCAGCACAGCTCATCCGTACAGGACTCGACGATGGAGCAACCAGTTTGATTTGCAATTTCTACGGGCCCTAGGCCGTGTGGCATTTTGTGTGCACTTTGCTGATGTGCATTCCTGCCGTAGGATGCGCTCCTGCCCGTCGTCTTACAAACAGGTAATTGCAGCCTTGTAAACGCACCTGTTTCGACCATTCCCACGGTAACTCTTTGACTTAGAAGTCAGGCTTAGGTACAAATCCTCCACTTGAACGACGCTGAAATGAGAACAAAGATATGCACACCCGTTGGGCTGCAAACAACGGCTGATGCTTGATGGTTGAACTGCCACGGACTGCATATCGAATGACTTGCTTCTTTATTGGGCTTGGCCAGTGGTATGCAAGTCGCTTTGGTCACTGATAAAGTCTGACTTCCATCCGCTATGGACAGACCGGTACTAAGGATATATACTAAGGCTCTTTAAGAATATTCTAGCAACGGAAGGGACTGGGCCTCCGAACTGCCAGAAGGGACTGGGCCTCCGAACTGCCAGAAAGTCTATGACTACAACTTGACAATTTTTCTGAAAACCCCGGATCTTGGGTGCTGGTTGCTATGTGCCTCATGTGAATCTTTTGACACCTGGCCGTGAGTCCACAATCTGGTATGGATCGCTCCGCAGTGATCCATGCATTTGGAACGGCCTGGATCACCAACATTTTGCTATGGATCGCGAACAATGGAGCTTGTTGCACTCGGGAAATTGCGCTTCTCTGTTGAATTGGGCGATCTCTGACATATATTTACAAAGACAGGCAATGACATGGCGCAAGGAGCGGTCACCCACCCTAGGTCTTTGGGTACCGCAGTCCACTTTTCATTTTCAGAAATGTTGATCTTTCGCAGTTCCAGGCCAACCCCCTCCATATGTACCTCTTTTGATACCTGGACAACTGCCAAAGCATCCAGTGTCATCCAGCACCAAATTTTCGAAGACTCCTTCGGCCGCTTGGCAACAGGAATGTGAAGCTGGAGGCCAGTGATAAGTTCAAGCTTGAACTCAAT